TCCTCGTGGATCTCGTCAGGCTGGGCGTGGCTAGAGCACTATATAGCTCCTACGGAGCAGAGTAGCGCAATCCTTTGAACCTCGTGATTTGCCGACAACATGGCCGACAGAGTGGCTCGGCGCGAGTCACGTGGTACTCAGGGCTCCAGGAGGCGGCCCGCCCTATGGGAGAATACATGGAGATCGACTCAACACGGCTGATTAAAAAATGAACGGCGAGTTCACACTTTTCAAAAATAGTCTGTCGTGAAGTTAGTAAAGCACTAAACATTTTATCAAAGTTTTAATAATATCGGATGCTTGTGCAAATTTTGAGAAGGCAATTTCCAAGGCAATGGCGTTTGAAGCAGACGATTTTTGCTCGCAGCGGAGATGGGCTTTTCGGTTTGGCCGGAGCGGGTCACGTGAATGGTGCGACGTCGCCGTGTCGTCTGGTGCATGATGCCGCTCAGGCAATTTTTTCAAAAAAGTCACGTCCTTGCGGGGCACAAAACTTAGCGAAAATTATTCTAAAATGTTCCATTATTATGTCAAAAACGATTGCCATTCCGAACATCCCCACAATACTGAAGAAACAATGATTTTCTCACGTTCTCCATGCATTTCTGACCGCAGTTGGAACCTTCGGGCGTTCGCCGCTAGTCGCCGAGAGGCGGCGTTCTAGATTGCGCTACTCTGCTCCGAAGGAGCTATATAGTGCTCTAGGCGTGGCCGCCCCAGCCCGGCGGGATTCAGCGGACGTGCAGCCGGTGCAGCGGCGGGTCGACGGAGCGAGCTGATGTTTACGTGAAGATCAAGTTCTCGTACTCCGGGGTTACCAGAGACGTCGACCGCGCTCGTCCGAGGTTCGCAGCAGTCCCCCCCCCCACAAGAGATTGATGCCGTACGTGCAGTTCGGCAGGAACACATCTCGTGCCCATAATTACGGTCATAGTAGCACCAGTAGCACACACCACACATATCTAAGTATGTTCGATTCGATTATCTTTAACGTGTGTCCACTGCGGTATTGTTATCAAAACACGGGAAACAATCTAAAAGTCCTTGCGCCATACTATGTACGGCGGAAGGAGTATTTGTACCTTTCTAGTTAATGATATCTTAATTAGTGTTTGTTCCTGAACAATAAAGTTGCGTTAGACACCCCTATGTTGTTTCTTTTTCATTAAATAAAGTTCAAGTATACAATACTTGCTGCCGAGACGGAGAAACGACAGTGCCAGTGTGACGTTTTTCTTCGCCGGTGCCGTACGCGGTCGAAGCTGGGACGAGCAACACTTTTCATCGCTCTCGCGTCTTACGCAGCTAGCTCTAGAAAAGGAGACGAATCATTTCCTTGCCTGAATATATTTATTGCGCGTTGCGCCACATTATGTATAATACACAGCATTTCGCTACATTTTACCGATCCCCTCGAAACCGCACAGAAACCAAAACCGTGCATTTGTTAGGCCTACGCCAACCACACCGATCAGCTCAGCTGGACCTGGGCGCGTGCCAGGATTTAGAATGACAGTACAGTACATACCGTAAGTTGAAGTAAGCAAGACGAAATCTGGAACACAACTGACCGCATTCGCGAGGTTTACGACAAGGTTCATAGTGCCGTCTGCAACCAGCGACGAACCTGACGAATCTGCGAATCTCCCAAATATTCGTCGCGGGAAGTTCGGAAATTTCCGAATCCGACCGAATCCGAATCTCCAGTGATTCGTCCCATCACTACTTAGATTGGAAAGCCGAAACACCAGTTAGCGTTGCGGGAAAGGTTTGCTCCATGCATACCGCCTAAAAACGAATTGACGTGCAATTGAACAACGGTGCGCCGGTATCGGCGTGCTTCCGTCTCGCTGCGAGACGGAACCGACGGAACCAGGGAATCTGACAAATTTGAGGGTTTCCTGCGTCGACGAGCCGGTTCAAGAATGTTTTCTTTAATTGAAATCGTAACAGCATGCATGGTCAATAGGGAGTATTCACTGGACGCCATATTTGAGGGCGATGTTTAGAGCGCATGCTCGGAACGAGCTCACGTTAATAGGCTCCTAAGACCGGCAATCTTGATGGTGCGAAACGCACGTGGCGAAAGAACTATGGAAGCACGCCGTCAGCACAGGCTCAGCAGTCGCGCACATAGCTATGGCCGCCAGTGAATACTCCCTATAAATACAGGGTGAAACAAGGAGTCACCAGGCTCTTTAAATCGACCGGAAAATTCGGTTTCTTAACCTATCGCGCTACGACTTTGTGCAGCGTTGCCCACAGATGGTGCACTTTTTTTGTAAAATTTGCAAAGAGCGAACTTACCTGAGGAAAAAGTAAAGAAAGAAAAAGGCTTAGCTCCTATGGAAACGCAGCGACGCCACCGGTCTTCAAACAACACGGCGCCGTTTCGCACGGGTCACAAGAGATGGCGCAACGAACGCCGCCAACGAACGAGCATACGGCGCCGAGAGCCAGCACCTCAAGCAGACAATCGTTTCGACTCAAAAGCGGAGCGCGTTCCGCGGGCGGCGACAATCGCAGAAACAAAAACAAGCGCGGTAACAACAAGGAACTGCAGTTCCTGTCTGCGTCGTCTGCTCGTTCGTTGGCGGCAGTTGGCGTCACGACCGCTTGCGCCATCTCTTGTGGCTTGTGCGAAACGGCACCGTGTGGTTTGCAGACCGGTGGCTACGCTGCGTTTCCATAGGAGCTAAGCCTTTTTCTTTCTTTACTTTTTCTTCAGGTAAGTTCGCTCTTTTCAAATTTTACAAAAAAAAAAAAGCACCATCTGTGGGCAACGCTGCACAAAGTCGTAGCGCGATAGGTTAATAGCGAGTTCGTTTCACGGCACTCGTGCCCACGCGTGCCCACTCGCAGCAAGGAACGGGTTCGTTTCGGCCGGCGCTCCACGAGTGGTTGCACTCTCCGAGTTCGTTTCATCGTTGACACCCCACGCGTGCATGCGCTCGCTGCACCGAGAAAATCGGGAGTGCGCCAAAATGCAATCCCGTCATGCCTCGCTCCGGCGGGGCCGGCGAGGAGCGGGAGCAGACGACGAGGGTTCGTCTGCTACGATGTGTCGCGGAACCGAACGGAAAAAAAAAAGAGGCGAGAAACAGACGCGCAGTGCTGTCTGTTTCTCGCCTCTTTGTCCCCGTTTTTTGAGCGCTAAAATGTATTCCAAAAGCGCACTGTGCTGTCTGTTTCTCACCTCTTTGTCCCTGTTTTTTGAGCGCTAAAATGTATTCCAAATTCTAAAACCAACTAGCCCAACAATCTACTCTACGGAAAAAAAAAAGTAGATTTTCTGATAGAAATCATGTCCCGCGGGCAACGAAATCAAACGCGAACTTGAATTGTGAGCGCCTGCTATTTCACGAAGGAAGCAATTGACAACCCGTGATTCATTTGCAGGTTTTAAATCACTCTGTTGCCGCACAAACGCTGAAATATACCAGTGTGTAAAGAAATGCTCAGAACAAACGCAACAGCGGCCCTCGAGATTTCTATCACCATCCGTGTGCGGGTGAAAAATTGAACATTTGTCGATAAAACTCCCCCTCTGACTACCCAATAAGCATCAGAGAAAGCTAAAGATGGTGACTTTACCCGAGGATTGGGCAACATCATCATGCTTAACATTTACCTAAGCAGCTAACTTGCCCCGTCGTATTTTGTTCGAGAAAGCTCTCGTTCTCGACGCCCTTACCAAAGCTAATATCTAATCCACCTATAGTGACGATTTAAATCGAAAATCCCAGTTTTGCTGGATATTCTAACAGGCTAGTTTTAAGCCGTACCCTTTCAGTGGTTCACGCATAATACCATGCTCAAACGGATCAAGCTTCTGCTCGGACAGCATCATTAGTTTTCTTCAGTGTAAACGGTTATAAGAATTGAAAGATAGCAACCAGCTGCTTTGTAGACAGCTGGTTGCGGAAATTTACGCCGTCTGTAACTAGCTCTACGGCAGCCGAGCTGCTTGAAGACATCGCAACTATAAACTACAGGCTGCAGTTGCCAACGTTAGTAGATAAACGTTGGTAGCAACTGCATTCTCGCATTCCCACGCATCACTCAGATCCTCTATGCTCGGAACAGAAAGGCGCTAGTTTCGGTTTGAAGTCGGTGCCTTTTCTACAACATAGATGGCGTCAGCATCAGTCTTCTGCACTCGGTGCATTTGGCAAGTTCGTTTGAGTCCAGTTTTCCGTGCAACACTGTGAGTGCGATGCCTTCTGGGAGAGAACTCGAACGGTGCCAGTGCGTGCGAAACGAACTCGCGATAAGAGACCGAATTTTTCAATTAATTTAAAGAGCCCGGCGTCTCCTTGTTTCACCCTGTAGATCGGCCATGGTAACCTTCCAGATATGTGCACGAAACGAGTCTTAAAACCTTTCAGGAATATTAAAACGTTCGTAGAAACTTCATACGTTGCAGTCTCTTTTGCTTTAGAGTCTGCGGCTCCACACGGGCCTAATTATTTATCTTCGAAATATTTTCGGCTTCTGCCACCCGTATAAACGGTCGGAAGGAGCTTACTCGATCTACCGATCTAACTCTAGGGTAAAGGTGGTTATCGAAAACCTACCCGCGTCCACCTTTTCTCTATTTTTGTTGTCACGTGACATAATCGGCCAGTGTAACTCGGATCCATTCGAGTAGGTTTGGAACGCAGCCTCGGTGTATCGCGCTCTTGTACGCTATGCGCCGTTTAGTTGCTGCGCTCGGAGTATGAAACTCGGAGCGTCAGAGTAGGAGTAAAGAAGCGCCGACTTAACGCGCCCACTATCCGCACTCGGAGTGCGAATAGGGACAGCCTGGATGGACTGGCTCGACAGTTATCTATTCGGACGTGACGCGCCCGGCGGCGATGCTCTAAGCTCGTCTCTGTCATTTCGGCATGCGTCTCACTTCAAACTTTGAATCTACAACGAAAACTAGCTGGCTATCCCTTCAAATATGTTCAATCAACACGCTATCGAATCAATTTAAAAGAGAAACACTCGCTTACCGGCGGTTAGCGTTTCCCGAAGGTGCTCCGGCAGCCGTGCACAACCTACGGTCGTTGACTAGACGCAGCGTCCATCAGCGTCTCCCAGATATCGTTTGTTACTCTTGACAAAGTAGTACCTGTAAAAGAAAAAAGAAAAAAAAAACGTAAAGGAATCGGTTTAAAGGTAGAAATGAACGCAAACCACAGAGCGATGTCGACGACGGCGCGGTTCCCATTCGTATGCCAGACTGTGCCAGACCATCTGGAACTACGGAGCAAGTGGTGGTCACAAACACAAAACTTTAAATGCTCTTTTTTTTTTCTTTTTTACTTTTTCTTTTACACGTCGTATAAACAACGGCTTTTTTTTTAACGCGCCTGCGACAATAATTTTGGAGGGACTGCTTTTGTGCAAAATTGTTTTGGTGCTACTGTAAATTCTGAATACTTTTGGTTTCGGTTTCGGAAACAAAGTGGAAAAAAAAAAAAAAAAAAAAAAAAAACGCTTTCGGAATCATTAAATTGTGATATGAAAGGGAGATTGGAAATGACGCTTTCTTTTGTTTTAGTACAAACACTGCCTTTATTTTTTTATTTGTGTTTTTTTTAACAATTGTGCTATCCCTTCGTCGCGTAGTTCAAACTGTGCCTGCATTTATTTATTTTTTGTGCATTTTTGTGCAAAATTTATTGTTTTTTTTTATGCTATGGCTTCGTCACATTTTCCAAAATAAATATTTGTAGCACTTCAACAACGATTATAAATGAATTAATGAAAATGGGTAAATATAAAGACAAGCTACTCTAATTCACAGTATGCCCGAAGTGCAATGTGTGCCCTTAAAAATATTTTTAAATGCAAAGGATATTTATTTTCATAAATGCTTTCAGTATAGAAATAGGGATTTCGTGAGTATACACCAACTCATGTTTACTAACAAACCGGAGCGCCCCTAGTGGACGGCACCGGTGCCGCGCATGCGCGATGGGGGTGTGGGCAAAAAGCTCGCCGTCGCCCATAAACAAACCATTGAAATGCGATGTTGTCGGCGTCGGTGCGAGTCCCCCTGCCCTTTTTCGCGTTTGCATAGTTGATTCTACGTCTTCCTGGCAAGGTCTGACTACTTCAGCGGCGTCACCGAAATTACCGAGGCTCGTTACACCGCAAAACTTCGCGTGAATAATGTGACATGCGGCGATTCATTCCGCGTGGACGCCGCAGAATGTACGCTAAAGCCTGAGTCGCATGATGAGATTTCGCTCGCAATTTTCAGTCCGGACGTCGGTCGGGCTGCAAAAACGTGAAGCGTAGCTGAGATGGTCGACGTCGATGCTGAAAATATCAAGCAGAATCGGACCAAGTGAATTAGGCATAACAAGTCGGTGATGGCCACTGGTAACAATTATCAATGCATCCTTGTATCTAATGTTTACATCGAGCCTGGTTACCATCCTTCAAATTTGAGTCTTTTGAGGCCTGCACTTACTTCTTATCGCAAGTACCGGGCCCACGTTTGGTCTACGGGCTGGTGTCGTCTAAAAGAGCAGACGACAAGCAGAAACGTTTGAAAGAGCAGACGGCAGTTTAAACAGTCAAGCGGCCGTTTGAACTTGAAGACGCACTGAACGTAGCCCGCAGGTGGTCCGTACAACCTCGCGGTTTTCCGCCGTTCATGCTAGAACAAAACAAATACATTTGATGACCAGAAGTATCCGTGAATTCAATCCAAAGTGCTTCCCGCCCAAGAAATCGTGGTCGACGGCGCCTGGTTTTCCCTTTTCACGGCACATATCCACCGTCTCGGACGAACCGAGCACATGAAAACTGGCCTTCAAACCTTTCTCGACTCTTTTAGTACAGCCCCAGTCACGGCGTTTTGACGAGAAGGCAGGTTTTTGTCAGGTTCCTTTCAAAACAACGCAGGAATACATGGGACTTCTGCCCACAGCCCCAGACCGGAAGTGCGACCGACGCGCCACCACCGCGCCGTGACGTAACAGAGATGAGTTCGTGTATGGCTTGCAGCCTAGATGACGTCACAGTATTTCGTGACACTGATGCTATCACCCCAAAGGCGCTCGAAATTCTAACCATACTCCATCTCAGAAATGTTTGCAGTACAGACAAAGGCGCAGAGAGGCGCGTGAGCATCGCTCAGTAGTGTGCTTTTGTTTGTACGAGCACTCGTTCATAAGAGGCACTTTCTAAAGCCACGCGCTCGTGCCGGCGCCTTTGTCTTCACTGCAAAAATTTAAAAGTTCTTTTTTTTTGCAATTTTTGAAGTAGGTTGGCCGTAGTTTGTTCCCAAAATGACTTTTTGTTTTCTTTTTACACCCTATTTGTAAACGAAGTTTGAATGTCTCCGCAGGCACACCTGACCGCTACTGTTAATATTCTGCCGCTTTTTAGCTACACAAATTACATTTTGTTTTACATCCAGGGCCAGTGGCGTAGCCAGGGGAATCCCCCCAATACCCCCCAAAAATGTGGCGGTAGGTTGCGGCATACGGACCCCCCCCCCCCCCCCCTTTCTAAAAACAATTGTCACCAATGTCCAGGGCTAACAAGATGAAACGCACACAGACACAGACGCACGCACACGCGAGCGCGCAAGCACACATACAGACGCACATTCACGCAGACATGCACACGCACGCACACATACACGCACGCGCACAGGGACGTGGCATACACGCGCGCGCTCCCGCGCACACATGCACACAGACGCATGCACGCCTGCACACACCAGTGTTGCACACGCAATCGCATCCGCAGAGGCACGCACACGGACTCTCGCGTTCACACCTACACACACACACAACGCACGTAAAAAGTGCATTTAATTTTATTAACATAATCTAAACCCTGAGACAAGGAGAAATAAAATAACGGAGAGGGCAAGTTGTTTTGTCTGTTATTTTGTTTATCATTGTCTCAGGGTTTACTTTCGTTCCTTGATCTTTCAAACCTGCCGGAATCTATACCGAAACTACCTCAAGTATAGTTTCGGTTTCTTTGCATGGGCAGCGCTTTGAAATAAAACTGGTAAAACCGTAAAACCGGCCGGCCAAGTCAATCCATTTTTTCAATGGCGTCGCAGACTCGCAGTTTCATCTGGACGTGTCGTTTGGACGTGTTGACGGATTTGAAGGTGAGATATTATCTGGAACATTCTTTCGAACACTTGTTATTTGTTCGGGAACCTGGTAAGTGAATATAGAAACCTTTTATTGTTTACATTTGATGGGAGCGACCACATATGTCTGACTGTCTCTTTCGTGGTTTCGCGGATTGCTTTCGCTCTTTAAAAATACCCTGTGCCCAGAGTGCCCTCATTCAATTGCATTCTCACGGCGATATTTTGGGGTTCTTATGCTATCCGCGAGTTTATCGTTAATATTTTATTTTGAAGTTCTGCCGTGGTACTAGCGACATGATAACGGGGTGATCTGCTTTCAGCTTCTCAACCTGTACTATCGCAAACAAAACGAGCTGAAACAGCGCTCCGCCCTGCGCCGACTGTCGCCTTGCTCCGCACGCACGGCGCACCCTGAGGCCGAGATAAATTCTCACTTGCGCTCGCTGCGCCACTGCGTTCTTCCGTCCGTCTGCTAGCGAGACGGCTTGTGCGACAGCGGGCGTGTGCGTGGTAGGGCTGCAGGGGGGGGATGTGCATTGTTGAGGTTGTTCAGGCCACAGTTCAGGCGTTCCGCTCTAGGCAAGGGGTTTTGCGGTGCGGCAAAGTCGCTCCCACGCCACGAGGCGGCGTTTTGTTGCCTCCGTCGGATGATTCAAGTCCCCATATGGCGTGTAATTTTTACGGTCACTGTCGTCGTCGTTGCCCTCCTCGGCCTCGTCTCCGTAGCCAAGGGCCTGTGCTATACCGCTCTACTACGCGCTTTGCCCTTTCTGGTCGATGCTACTGCGTTGTCCCAAGATGTGTTCGACAGTCTCCTCGTCGCCGCCACAGAGCCCGCAGTTTGGATCTTCTCCATAAAGCTCAAATCTGCGTCTCTGGATCAGTAGGGAGCCCGTTCGAGCCTGCAACAGCAGCGCGCTGGCTCGGTCTCCCTGCTAGTGTGGATAGGGCGCTGGTTCCTTCTTGTGTTTCCTGTACAGTTGGAGGCTCAGTATCCTCTGCATTGTCCTTCTCCAGTCCTCTATTCCGGCCCGTGTCACCTCTGCCCGTATTGTCCTCACCCACTCCTGTTCCGTCGTCACCAGATGTCTTGTTGTGCCCCCACCGTACTTAGAATCTATAGTCTTTATTTTCTTCATCCAGCCTGTCTTGGACCCCTGATATCGGATGTGGTAGTTCATCCCTCTGGCGTAGCTCTCCTGGGGAAGGAACTTTAGTCTGCCCATGTATGCAAGCTTCGACCTGGCCTCTCGTATCTTGTAGGTATACATCCCATTTCCCCGGTTACCACTGCGTTTGCTGCGCAGCTCAGCAGCCATCTCCCCAGTCTGTATTGATGTCGATCCAGATACTTTACCACCGTCTCGCTGTATGTAATCGCGTCGTTCGCGTAAGTCACTGCTTGGACTGCAAGGGATTTCCATAGTAGCCTCCCAACCGAGTGTCTATTGTACGAGTGCCTGGCGAGATGCCACACCACCCCCTTCAGTTTGTTTGACTTTTTAATTACGTTTTTTTCCTGTTTGGTCAGGTAGTCCTTGCTGTGCGTTATTGTTACACCAAGGTAATTGTAGGCTGTTGTTTTCTGTACTGTTTAATTTTGTAGGTAAAAGCTGGTGTCCAAATTCACGTTGGAGCCCATCCACTGCGTTCTTCCTGCATTAAATTTAAGGTTGTCCCTCGCTGCCACCCCTGTGCAGATGTCAATCATGTGCTGCATATCGGTTGAGGACTCTGCGAGGAGCACCACATCGTTCGCAAAGGCCAGGCATGGGATGCACGTGTATTCTTCCTCTTTGTCCTTGGTCGTAGTGCTCAAGGGCAACCCTGCCCCTTCCTCCTCCAGATGTTTGAGATGTTTGAGAAGGTCGTTTGTGTACACATTAAACAGTGTTGGTGATAGGCGACACCCCTGTCTCAGTCCAAAACTTATTGGTACTGGTTTTGATTTGTAGTTTTCTAATGTGTACCAGGCCTCGCAACCCCT